TAGAATAACTAAAAAAATGTTAGGTAACTGAATTTAAAATCTCCCGAACTAAATTATGTTCAAAATTAAAGTTTATGCTTCTTTTGTTCCGTTAAATACTAACAAAATTATATTGAAATTACAATTTGTAGTGAAAATTGAATAAAGTATTTAAGGATTTTTTGATAATGATTTCACTAATTTTAATAGTATACGCAATTTAATAATTGTGTTGACTATTCCTTACTTAAATAATTTATTACATTATTTATACTTGTGAAAGAAAAAAACTGCATTATTCAAATAATTTTTTTATTTTCTTTCTCATACCATCATTTTGAATTTTCTTAGGTGATCGAAAAATTTGCAATACTTGAGACTTCGTTATACATTATATAGTTAATAAGTATAACTAGTAAGGGATTCATTTTTGATTATCACAAATCAATTATTAATACAGTAATACATTTTAAATTTAAATCCAGCGACGTAAATTTTATCTTAGAAGATACTAGGTTTATGTTTTAATGCCATAAATGGGAATAAAATTTAAATAATTTTCGAATTTTTTTGAGTTTAGAACTAAACTATATAAAATTAATAATTTTTAGAATTTTAGAATTAATACATTGAATAATATAACAAAACCCCAATGTCATTAATGTAAGCGACATATTTTATAAATTTACATAAAATCCAATTCATTAATATAAGCAACATATTTTATAAATTTACGCAGCAGTGAACATAAATAATTAAATAGCTAATGCCTATTACAGTTCGTGATATCAATTCTTGCGATTTATGTGAATTTATACAGTAATGAGAATGTAACAAATAAATTCAATACGTATTATGTTTAAATATAAAACTATTTGTCTGTTCGTCATTTTGGTTTGCATTTTCTTTTTCATAATAGAACTTTGTAGTTTGCGCTTGCATTTTTGTTGATTCATTATTTCGATAGCTTAACTGTTTTTCAATTACCATCGAAGCTAATCTTCTAGCATAATTTCTTGCGGTCTTTGCTTAGGCGCATTAATTCTTTTGTGTTTTTACATTTTATCATAAATTTCAATAATTGAACCATTAAGTTTTGTTATCAATATTTCAATTCAATGATCGGATTGCTGATTAAAGTCCTACAGGAGATATCATAATTACAGGGATGGGAGCCGGACATCGACAAAACTCCATAAAGTATAGCTTAAAGGTCTTCCTCTCCGTTTCCCTCCACTCCAGCCCAATTATTCAGCGATTCCCCATTAATATATCTATCTAGGAACTATAAAAAAAAGGAAAATAACGATAGTTGTTTAAAGTTCCCTTATAATTATTGTCTCAATTAATTTCAGATAACTTTCGAATTATCTATTTAACTTCAACTCTTGAATAATAACAAATGCTAGCTTGATAATGAATTCTTAGGGTATTCTCAAGCGCCTAAATCAATTGATCGGAAATAAAATTTTAAATAGTCGGGGGCCGAAAAAATTGATCAAGTGAATTGAAAAAAGTCGGGAGGCGCAGACCATCCTTTTTTTTCATGGAGTTAGCGCTGATTGGCCAATACTGGTTATTGCATAGAGTAAAAAAAGAAGTTGTTCAAGCACTTTGCCTTACGTGATGGATCTTTAGCAAAGTTATAATCGTCAAAAAAATGCTTTTTTTATTCGAAACACTTGTCGATAATAAAAATTCCAGGAAACCCAAAGAGAGAAACTTGCTACAAATGTTATTTCTTACTTTTACGTCAAAAATGACTATATATTTATTTTATTTATTTATTTCATTTTTTATTAAAAATTTTTAATATTCAATGCTTCATTATTTTCAATGTTGGTTTTGTTCGAAGTTAAAGAGAAAAAGGTTGTGAATATTGTTGTTGTAAACAACATAAATACTCGTGAAGTGTAATGGTGGAATTGGGCACTTGGAGTTGCCGAAGTTGCATTTGTTTGTTGAGATGTTGCAAAAGGAGTTACATTTGTTTGTTGGATGGTCGCCTTTTTTTGTTACGATTTGCTGAAGCATAGTAAAGCAAGGATGATTTGCTCAAACAATGATTGCAATAATTATTACGATCAATTGAAATAATTGAGCACCATCTCAATCACTATCAGATCACATTGAGGGAGTTACTTGAGAGCACCCTTATTTTCACTCCTTCCAACTTCAATTCGGTTCGTAACTATAGTCAGGTAGCTACTCCTTCGCGCTGTGAGACCGGAAACGTGACCTGACCGCGGGCACGTGGCCGCGTGACCCGGGAATTCCAATTTTTGGATTTACCGCAGGAATTCCAGGGATTTTCGGAATTTCCGGAATTACGAGAATTACTTCGTTACGAACTCTGCCTAAACTACATTAAACCCTGGTTCTGTCCTAAAACTAAACTAAACCACTCGTCCAAATCTAACACGCCTCTTTCGACCCAAAGTAACCTAGGTTTTGGTTACACGACTCCTACTTCGACCTAGCGACAGACTAGCCGTTTCCGGGTTTGACAACGCCATATAAAATTTTGGTAGTGGCGTTCGTAGGTTATTCGGTGATCTATAAACAGCTTATTCGTAACAATAACCAAGCAAGAACATTTTCATTCAAATCAATATATTTTTAATTAGTTATTAGTGATTGATTCATAATCAAATAACATAACGCCCAAATGGCTAAGTTTTGTCGGAATTATTTTCTAAAAATAGTTTAATCATACATTGAGATTACTAATCCAGCTTTTTCAATTCTTTTTTTTTTTTTTTTTTTTTTTTTTTTTTTTTTTTTTAGAAAAGCTGCTTCAGAAATTTTCAGCTTTCTGAAAAAAATTCGGCCTGATTATGCATCTAAATCTAGGTAGCGCACCAACAAAAATTGCCCCGTAATTTTTACTGTAAATAAATAGCGTTGTAGCTTGAATTAGGCTTAGGACAATGGAGTTTCTATCAGTAAAATTCACGAGGAAAATTTTTAATTAGCCCGCAGAATGTGAGTTATTTCCGATTGTTTACGTTACACCTGATCTTGAAATTTGAATGGTCATGTGCTAAGGGCTATACTCTATTTATTATAAAAATTTTTGATCGGTCGAAAAATAGGTATTTATACGTACTAAGCGATCGGCATTGTGTAAGCATCGAACCATAAAACAATAATCCATAACAATATTTGTGGAATTTTAACAAAAATAGTCAATATATTTTCTTCTATACGTATAGTGATTGGCTACGTATCATGAGAATCCTACAATGACCTGCTTATTTTTGTTAACGTTTAGCCAAAATATTTTTGTTAATACAGAAAATTCTGTGCCACAGTATACTGCAACAATCAGGCGATTTTTCTTAAAAATTGCACATATGACCAAACATCATTTTACGTATCAATTAATAATTATGAAATTTTGGCGCACATTGATGAGATCACCAAACAAAAAAATTTACAATTCAAGTACTGCCTCAGAACAGTGCACACCCGGCCCGGATTTTCAACGGTCGGAAATTTTCGTTTTTTATAATCATCTAAGTCCCGGTTAATTAAGAAAAAAAATGCATATTACATACCAGAAATTTGCACACCTGTTTTTTTCTCGCTACGTCATTTTAAGTTGAATTTAAAAAAACTCAGTCAATTGAAATTTGTTAAAATGAACGAAAAAGCTTCCGACCACTTAAAATTACGCCGAAATTTTGTCTTAATAAACCGGAAAATTCCGATAGAAGTTGTGCACTGTCTATTTTTAATACTGTAATACTTACCAACCAAATTTAATTATCATGTGACAGTAATAACAATGGATGATCGAATTAGTCCAAATGTTATTATACAGTACGTATGTGGATTCAAATGGTCAAATTCACTCCAAAAGAGTGATAAAATGCATTAATTAATTAATGACTTTATACTTATTCACAAAATAAAATCAAATATATAAATATGCATACTGTAATCATAAATGTTCAAATTAACGAATCAGAGAATTTCTATAAAACCAATACCGAGTTGAGTCAGTTTTTTTAAAAAAAACTGCATAAATTAGTATATTTCGATCCGCATTTAAATTACGAATCCAATATTACACAATCACGAGATTTATAGAGGCTTTTGCCGTGAGGCTTAGTATATATTGGCGATCAAATAAGCAATGTTATATATCTGAGCCACAGATGAATGATCGCTTTTTATAGCGTTTTTTTTTTTTTTATACTTAAGATGCCAAGGATCAATTTCGAGACTTACAAAAATAATAGAATATCGTAAGATGGAAGCCTCGCTGGCTAAAAATGTATACCATACCTTTTGTACTATGTTGCAATTGTGAATTAAGAACTATCCAATAAATTTTTAGAAATAAATATAATAAGATGTTCTCAAAAAAAAAAAGATATTTTTACCTTCAAGAAAAAAATCAGGTAATCAATCATGAACGTATATAAATTAGTGACTATAAAGTGAAATGTAGTCACATTTTAACCACTAGCAGAGAATTTTCTTTTAAGCAGGTACGTACGTACGTACGTACGCATGTATGTACTTATGATTGAATTTACAACAATGGTCGTTTTAAATGCTCAAATTTTTTTTCTTTTCCAAAGAAACCTATTCATTACATTAATTAAGCTAAAGAAGTATTGAAGTAAGAGTTTGTTTACTCATTATGGATGGTTGTGTCACCTAATGTATGTACTGTACGAATTTCAACATCGGCTGACACTAACTCTTTCTGCAAACCGTTCAATGATATCATAATTTTGTGATATGTATAAATTGTGTTTAGTTGAATTTTGTCCTACACCCGAAAAATTATTTTCCTTTCGCTTAACCGCAAAATACAAATTTTGACGTTGCTAGTTTTTTTTTTAATGACTTCGATTGGCTAAAGTTATAAAAGGTATTTTTTATTTTTGCAATTCTATTAAAAGAGTAATTGATTGCTTCAATACATTTATTAATTTTTATTTTTATTTTTTAATCATCTTTATTAATTTTTTCAAGATGTTATCATTCAAACCGTTCATTTTAATATGTTTAATACTTTTGGGATACTCGACCGTTCTTGGTCAGAGTAATAATACTAATAATACTAATACTTGTGGTGACCCAATAAATGATCCTTGCCTCAATGCTAATAAATCATTAAGCGTTTGTGGTGGGTCATTAGTAATACCAACTAATACGCAAAATAATACTTCTACCGTTTTGATAGTAACCGGTTAGTGCAAGTTTTTTTTATTTTCGCTACGTAAATAATAATTCAAAAATTAAATTGATCGTTTACTTGTTTTTTAAAGACAAAAGATTAGCGAATTGTCAGTGTAATCAACAATATTATACAAATCTTACAAATTGTTTAGCTTGTTATAGTGCTAATAATATTGGGAACGTTTCTGTCGCTAAGTTGAATGATTATCAGTCAGCATGTACTAAATTGGGTGTACTGTTTACTGCTGTTAGGTTTGATTGACTATTTTCTTCATTATTCCTATCTTTTATTATTTTATCTTTATTTCATATTTATATTCTCAAAAACTTCTTAATTTAAAAAAATGGGTTATAGTCCAGTTTTACAACCAGATACAACTGCTGCTGCAGCAAAAAGAATTCTAATTGGGGTGATTGTAGGTTTGGTCGGTATAATGTTGTTAGGTATAGGTCTTTGGCTATTTTGGCGTAAAAGCTCAAGTCATCCAAAATTGGATAGCCCTCCTCCTCCTGATCTGGATCATGATCAATATAACCCTCCTCCACCTATATCTACGACTGAAGCAAACACAGAAGTGATTCAGCCTAATTTACCATACAGTAGTGGCCAACCTGGACAATACTTTGGTAGTGGTATACCACCTTCTCCTCCCCCTGACCGATACAACCAATATTATACTAGTCGTCCATCTCCTCCACCAGGACAACAAGCTTCATATGGAGGCGTTCCTCCAAGACCTTCATCTCCATCACAAAGTCAACATCCGTCATATTACAGTGTTAGTAGTTCTCAGCCAATTTTACGTCCATCTTCAGGTGATAGTATGACGGGTAATTACTCACAGCAACAACATTATTCTGGACAATTTGGTGGAATACCTGAACAGGAACAAACCGATAGTATGCCAATGCCTGTACCAGTTCCAACACCTGGCGATTATCAACAACATGGTTATCCGGTTGAATACCAACAAGGCCTTCCTCAAGGTTACCAACAAGGTTATCCTCCACAAGGGTATCACCCGCAGGGTCATCCACCACAAGGTTATCCACCGCAAGGTTATCCACCGCAAGGTTATCCACCACAAGGTCATCCACCTTCACAAGGTGATTCACAAGGTTACCCACCTTCACAAAATTATCCACAAGGCCAGAATCCTTACGGTCATCAATAAATATTATTTTGTAAAGATATTAAAATTTTTCTTTTAAAAAAAAAAAATAGATAATGATCGAATTTGTATTTTTTGAAAAAAATATTGTATTACTACATATTGTTTTTTGGGGGTTAAATAGCATTATTATATTGTTTGTGGTTGTGAAGAAAGTAATTTTTTGGGTGCATATAAAAAAAAAAGTTATGGTTAAAACGCATGTATTTTTCAAAATTAGTGATAATGATTGTAATTACTGTATATGTCTGCTATACAGGAACCTGGATCTCTTAACCATATAGTTACGATTAAATTATTAACAACTTTATACTATATAGTAGTTACTGCATATTAAATATTTAAATTTCTGTAAAGCTTTTTTTAAAAAAAAAAAAAATTCAATGCGCAACGATTAACCGTGATGAAAATATAATGTAATAAAAAATTGTATGGCAATATTTATATAAAAGCATTCATAAAGTAAATTATTACTAAATTGTTATCAATTGCTATGTTTAGGAAATTCTTTAATCTCAAGTGTGAGCATTCCATTAGAGTTACCCATATCAGAAAGTTTTCGATAATGAATTAATGCCAACATTATATATCCCATTAGAATAACTCATTTCAGCAGGTTTTGAAAATATATGAATGTCTTATGCTCATCCTTTTTAACACCGATTCCATTTGATGGCAATAGTCAATCATAAATGTTTCATCTCCCATATGCATCTGCAGATTTTTGAATGCCTTATGTTCGTTCTAATTCCATTTTGATGGTTATAACCAAGTTTCAAAATTTCATGAGCGTTAACAAATAAATTTTTTAAGAGCCTTTTTTCTTCTGCGTTTATATAAAAATGCACATTCTCAAACCTCACTTCTAGCGTACGTACGAATGTACAATTATTTATAATTTATAAAACCATTATTATGAATAATTTACCAAAAAAAAAAAAAATTGTTATGTAGCAACTGAATAAACATACTACAGTACACTCAAAAAATCTTCTCCAGTGTATATACCGGCATAATAGAGAAATTTTCGGAATTAGTCTAAAGGAAACCTTCGGAATTGCAGATAAGCAGTTTAATTGACTGGACCCTTTTCTATTATTTGGTATTATACCTATACCTATGTGTATAATACCGGTATTATACTGATATTATACTAATAATATAAGTATAGCTCGCATCCATACATCAAAATTTCACGTTCCCGTGATAGTAGACAAAGCTTGTTTATGTTGGTGTTAGGGTTTATAGTAGTGGAAATTAGAAAATATGTAGTAAATTGCAAAGGAAAACTTTTATTGGAGCACTAAAGGTGGCATCATATAATGTTAAGTTTACTTTGGATTTTCCTGATCAGTTATGTTACACCTTGGAATATAATTGGTTTGCGCCACAGTTTCGTTTTGATAGCGATGCTGAGGCGGCTGGTCTATTGGCACCAAGGATGCGAAAATATTATTTGATTCAAAGAAAATTTCGTTTGATTTAGACATATTCCGAGTCATTAAGCAAAATTTTCAATTTATTTCGACAATTAAAGTCAAATTTAATCAATATAAGCAAAAGTTTCATTTAATTCTTTTAAATAACTAATTTAAAATATCTATAATACGTTGGTATGTATTATTAAATTCAACTAACATAATATTGCGGATATATAAATTAATTATTTCGTGGGTTTCGGGAAATAATAGAGATCTGCCTTTCTTCATTAAAGACCATGATCAGGCAAGCAATTGGTTAGTATTAATAAAAGTCAGTGTGATGTTTTTTCTTCCTCTTATCCAAATGGATTAGTTTTACCTCCAAGAGCATATGCACAAACTGATTAAAACCGGTTTAACATAAAAATTATACCGGTTCAAACTCTAGGTTAGATTTTTATGTATTAGACTTGATGTATATCGTCTGTTCTTAGTGCAGATTACAAGATTTTGTCTTAGAACCATACAAATAAGGGTCGGGTGAGATGTATTTGAAAATATCTTGTGAGTGAGAATTATGTGAAGTGAACTCTTATTATTTTCAAAGTATTAAGTTACATAAAGAAGGTGTAAAAGCTTTACACTCATAGATGAACATGCAAAACATGATTTTGGGTCAAAATCCCGAACAACGGATTATCGAAAGAACATAGTACCGACTAAATTGGCCAGCATTATGGCTAGTGCCGGCTAACTTTGTCGGTATTACGTTCTTTCGGGGATCCATTGTTCGGGATTTTGACCAAAAATCGCAAAACAATTATATAATTTAATGATTGCATAGCAACTAGAAAATGTGTACCGGGTTGGGATCGGATGATGGTCCGGGTGACGGTCCGGATGATAGTCCGGAAATAATTCTTCGAATTTTTTTTTATTATTTTTTACCAACGCTAAATTTATTTTTCAATTAAATAAATACTTTGAATTTTTTTTTTTTTTTACTTTTTAAAATTTATTTTTCAATTAAAACACGATAATATATAATTATAAATCAATGTTTAACGCAATTGCAGTGCATATACAACGCACACAAATAATATAAATTAACTCTAGTTTATGCTCTTTAACCTTTAATTTGGTTTGTTTTCTGTGATGTTTTTCGATAAATTATGTGCCCTTTTTGCGGTTTTTCTTTTCTTACGTTCCTTCATTTCAGATGGATCGATATTTTCCTTCTGACCACGAGATTTTCTTCTTTGAACTGATGTGGGTTGAACTTTAATTTTTGACCCACTTCGAATATTCGACGATTGTGATGAGGATGTGGAGCTTTGTTGAAATAAAAAAGATGATAACTTTCCCATCGACAGAGATTCAGCTTTTTCGTATCCTTTTTTAAAATGTTCAATGCCGGCAAGAAGTTGGCTATTATTTTTAATGTCATCCATAATGCGTTGAAAAAACTTCTCAACAGACATTATACGCTCATTTACAACTTCATTGCTATGTAGTAATTAAAATAAATTCTGAATTTATTACGAATTATAAATTGACTAAAAACGTTTACTACAAACCTAATTTCAATGTCATCTTTGGATGGCTGAATATCACTTATTTCAATATTTGACATGCTTGATATTTCATCATATTGATTACTTCGTGCACTAACTATTTCACTAACCCATTCATTGTTGGATGCCCGTAACGATGCAAAAAACGTTGGATCTTCAACAATTGTGCTTGCAATTATTAAAATTAATATTATGTTGCATAACACTAATATAAAACACATTTACCAACCACATGCAATGTAATTATATTTCACGTAGTCATCAAGCGAAAGAGCTGGAATGTAATCAAAAGACTGTGCATGATATTTTACTGCAACTGCAGCCTGATGTTTGCATGGAGCTCCACCGAGTGCGACAGGACATGTGCATGTCCCTATAGAGGTGTCAACAATGTAAAATTTATTAGTACTTGCACTTGGTACAGTATAAAGGCCAGTTTGGCTATTATATTGAATTTTTTGTAAGTTAATCTGTTGCTATTCAGGGCAAAGGAATCACTTAGATAGTTCATGGTAACCTGGATGACGGTTTGCGATAGCTATTAGTTGCCGTTCATAAAAACATTCCATGTTGGTTGTAATAAAATGAAATATTTGCGTGGCATTATATGCCTGAGTTCGAGCAAAAATGATATCTTTAATAAGCCCAAAGCTTCTTTCAACGTAATTATTTGTATGATTCCCTTGTACTAATAAATTTTGACGATATGCTAGCGCCCACATAGTTCGTTGTTTCCAAAGGCGCGAAATATGCATTGCAAGTTGAAGATACTTAGTAAAATAATTTTCCTTTAAATTAAAAAATGAAATTTCCATTTCAGAAATAGTTGGCGCATATAAGACTTTTTT